CCAATAGCTGTAGAGCAGGATGGATTCGAATTATATATACGAAGTCAAATTTAATTTTTGAATTTAATATTAGAATTCGAGTGCAAATGAATTGAAGTCCCTGTGCAAATGAATTGGACCGCAATTCTGTCAGACCGCAAAGATTAAGCAGGACCAGCTCTTACGTGGGCGTTAAATTGGTTGTAGCCGTCAGATAAGCTGCTGATCCCGACTTGCGTCAGAAGTATATAGAGATTTTATTTTACCGCCTCAGCTTCCAAAAATTACGGAATCACCCAATTCTCCGTCGCATTCGATCGATCCATTGTTCGCCACGTGTTATGCATTTGACGGGTCGCCTGCCGAAGACGGGAGCGCAGCCGTGCACCAATAAGTTCTGAATCGAACGCCTTGGATCTCTCCGGACCTACACCAATCATCCGTGCACCACTCGGCTTTGTCCACTTCCGGCCTTGACCACCACCTGCCGGGGATGCATGCCAGAGGGCAGAGGCCAGCATTGCCCAAGACCAGCATATTTTTCATCCTCGTTTCCGTGCATAAGCCTGCTAAAGGGCAGAGTAGACTAAGGGATTATATGTTAAAAGCCAAAGGTACAAATCCCCATTATCCCCTTCATGTAAATTAACCAGCAAGCTAATGAGAAGTAAGCCACCAATACAATTGCTCTAGGCCGTATTTAAAACTGCCCAACGGCCAACAGCTCTATCCCATGCCGTCTAAGTTCTAACCCCCTCACGATTTTTGGTAAGCAACTCCCTACGCCATAGTGGCACTGTGGCAAAGCAGAGAGTTTTTTAGACTCTCCTTCAAGCAAGTTCAGTTTTGAGTCCTATAAGTAGACCAGTAAAGTATCCTGGATACCAGCATCATCATACATAAGAAATTGGTTTAAATCTTTGGTAAATGAGGAATTAAAAATGAACCGATTCCAAAAAATCTCTGGTTTGTCACTATGCCCTACGCCAGAGCGCTGTTGATACTGCACAGCATAGTGGCAAAGCAGAGAGTTTTTAGACTCTCCCTCAAGTTCATTTTTGAGTCTTATAAGTAGACAAGCAAAGTATCATGGAAACCAGCATTATCATACATAAGAAATTGGCTTAAATGTTGAGTAATTGAGGAGATTAAAAATGAACTGATTCAGTGATTCTAAAAAATCTCTGGTTTGTCACTATGCTGCACAGCCAGCACTAGCAGCCCAGCACTCCAGCCCGTCCGTTCGTCGCAGCTGTTTTCCCCCGGCATAACTCTACCTCATAGTGGCAAAGCAGCAGTTTTTTAGACTCTCCTTCAAGTTCATTTTTGAGTCCTATATGTAGACCAGTAAAGTATCCTGGATACCTGCATTATCATATATAAGAAATTGGTTTAAATCTTGAGTAAATGAGGAAATTAAAAATGAACTGATTCTAAAAAATCTGTGGTTTGTCACTATGCTCTACCTCCATGCTTACCCCGTCTCCCCGCCTTTTTTCACCAACTGCCGGACGGCTTTTCTTAGTTTCTGCTCACTTGACTGTATTACGCTATGAAAAGAGGATCTATACAACTAATCTAGTATGGAATATATCTACTTGGCGAGCCGCGACGCGACTGAATTTTTCGAGCCGTGGTTTTATGGATTTGCCAGCCGTGATTCCATTTCTACGAGCCGTGATTCTATTTCACCGAGCCGTGATTCTATTTCACCGAGCCGTGAATTCCATATCTCGGCCATGAAAAGCCATTTACAGCGAGATTTCATACCTACTGAAATTATATGATATTAGAGCCGCGATATTTCAGACAAAAATAGGACTTTTCCAGACTAGTACAAGTTGTAACCTAACCTAACCTAATTCGGATAAGCATCAAAAATCTACGAGAAAAGCCTCCAGTTAGCCATGGGATAATGGTGGAGAGTCGAGGTAAGTGTGGGGGGACCCAGGGAAGAAGATGCTGGGGGATAGTATTAGTAAGGCAGGGAAACAGTGATGTGTGGTTAACGTCTTGCGGATTAAGTAAGGTGATGAGGCATTACCGTTTGGTGCAGTAAACTACAGTTCACATTTGTGGCAATGCAATGCAGTGTGGTCAGTGGACACTTAGGAATTAGGATAACAGCATGTGTAAGAAGTGATGGTATGGGTTATAAAGCATTGGAGAACAATTTATTGACCATTAACTATGTGGAGTAGCAGCTTGTGTGCTGAAGCAGTGTTGGATTGAAGTTTGTGTGGTGAGATAGGTCAATTGACTATGGGCTACAGCTGCTTAGGTGCCAGAATGACAATATCTATAGCATTTAGATGGTTAATGTTGGCTCCAGGGCTGACTTGAGCATTAATTTGCTGGTCTATGGCTGCACACCTACCTGCCGTGCACCACCAGGCCGCAGATCAAATCTGACTTCTGGGCATCGTTAAATTACGTAATTTTATGTTCACCGCATCTGAGGTTAGGTTTCAGATAGCATAGTTCTGTTCCAAAATTTATCATCCTTCGACAAGCGGCCGTTCGACCGAGGGCTGGTTCGACCCACGGCCTAGATATGGACGGCTTGAAGTGTTGAAGGCTACGTTCTGGAAGGCAGGAATCATGATGGTCCATTACATCCAGGGCAGTGGTGGTCTTTGGCAGGCGACCCACCGAAGACCACCACTGCCCTGGATCTGGATGTAATGGACCATCATGATTCCTGCCTTCCAGAACGTAGCCTTCAACACTTCAAGCCATCTGTATCTAGGCCGTAGGTCGAACCAGCTCTCGGTTGAACGGCCACTTGTCGAAGGACGATAAATTTTGGAACAGAACTATGCTATCTGAAACCTAACCTCAGATGAGGTGAACGTAAAATTACGTAATTTAACGATGCCCAGAAGTCAGATTCGATCTGCGGCCTGGTGGTGCATGGCAGGTTCTATGCCAGGCGCCGAGGCCGGAGGAAGACAAAGCCGAGTGGTTCACAGCTGATTGGTGGATGTCTGGGGATGCAGTATAGACCCCTGCATAGCCCTTGCCCACAATTCAATTTCTATTCCTTTCCACTCGTAATCATGCTAGAGGGCATATTAGCCTGTGTGATTAAGTGCCTAAAGCCATAGGTGCCATTTCCTTTCCTGGAAATGAATCAATCAGCCAGATAACATCAAGCCGCCGAAGCAACAGCTGTGAGCAAATAGCCAAACTGTTGCGTGCTTGTATTAAATACAGCCTGGAGTCTTTGTGACTTTTGAAAATAAGCGCCCGACATAACAGCGCCGTTACTTCACAGCCACTACTTCATCGCGCTCTACTCCACAGGCAGAAGCCCAAACCGCCGTCCCTATAATGCCATGCCCCAGTTCTCCCCCTTTGCAGCCAGCAGAAGGCTTTTCTCGTTGCCTGATCAGTAATGCGCCTGGCGCGATGGAGGGACCTAACCTAACCTGGCGCACAACTGATCAGCAATTGAAGAAAGCCTAATGGCTGCAAAAGGGGCCAAGAGGGAGAGCCGGGGCATGGCATAATAGGGACGGCGGTTTGCGCTTCTGCCCGTGGAGTGCGACAGGATTATGCCAGTGCTGCAAATAGCAGGGCAGGTTTAACCCTTTAGCGGGCAAGCATTAAAATATCCAGAAATTAAAATTTCATAAACCATTTCAAGAAAGTAAGAAGTAATATACAATATATTTATTTATACGAATTTTTGCAAATTTTGCCTATTGAAGGTTTAAATTGCACTTGAAGAATTCAATAAATGCGATCAGTACACAAAATTTTTCTTTATAATTAAAATTCAGTTTATGCAAAGATGGTCAGATAATTAGTGATTGACTGAGGCATTATAAGGATGCCTCAAAAACAAACAGGATGCCGTGGTGAGGCTTTTTGTGATGCGATTTCAAGTGATCATATATGGTAACTTACCCGTTAAAGGGTTAAGGTGATGGTGATCCAGCTTGGTCTGCGGCCAGTAAGGCTTACGGCGTGTGTAAGAAGTGATAGTATGGGGTGAAATTCTGTGGATTAGGACTTATTGACAATTAACTATTTGATTCAGCAGGCTGTGGAGTGAGGTTAAAGTGTTGCTTAAAGTTGGTGTGGGGAGATGACTCAGTTACCTACAGCTTCTTGGGTGTGAGGCACTGTGAGCTGAGTTTAGTTATTGCATTACAGGGTAGGCATTGGCGCTACGCACTAGGGCTTGTTTATGAGCTAAATTTGTGGTGTAGGGCTGCGCTCCTGATGTCCGGAGAGATCCAAGGCATTTGATTCAGGGCTTATTGGTGTACAAAATTGGTGGTACTACTGGTACATGGCTGTGCTCCCCAATCCCCATTTGACTTTGGCGTCTTGATAGTCATCTACTGAGGCAAGCATACTTATCTGTGTAGGTGTAGATAGCAGTGGGCAATGGGCATGTAAAGCAACTGTGTGAGCAGAGCATGTTTTCTACAGCCAGGAAGATGCATATCTTCTGTGAATTTTACTCACTGAACCACCCCACTTATGGTCCCAAATTGCAATGCACACTTAACTGACTAAAGTGGTGCTGTGTAGGCAGTGACAAGGCTGCATAGGCTGTGCAAGCTGCACTTTCTTAGCTTGGAGCAATTATTACCCTTTAATGAATCGGTATTATTGCAGATTAACTACATCCAAAAAAAGGGCGATACGTAACCCCCATGTTAGTAAGTCGCGAAAAAAATCGGTTTTCCGATGCCGACCGCCAAAAATGGATTTCAGATTCGTAATCTACACCCCAAAAAACATATAATTAAAAAAAAAAACACCCTTTTTTTTGGATGTAGTTAATCTGCAATAATACCATTAATAGATTAAGGTTCATAATTAGTGCTGGTGTTCCAATTTCATTTTAGGACGCATTCTACATAGTATATCCCCTTGACTGGAATGTCTGGCAAGACTGCAATGTGATGTCAGTTTAGACTAAAAAATATTTCTTCATAAATATAGTTTCCATTATTGTTGTACTATTGAAGAGATATTAGGAAAAAGAGATAAAACCTATCTGTATAATCTGCTTACTTGATAATTTTTTCCAGTTTTAGTGTGAAATTTGAGTACCTAGGTAACCGTTCATCTTTGCTAACATGGCAAGTCGAATTGCTTGGAGCAGCCCTCCTGAAGATGAGTGGACATCAGAAGAGCTTCTAAATCAGTTTACAAAAGCTGTACAGTTAAGTGGCACTTGCCCAGAAGAGTTGCAGCGTGCTAAGGAAGAAGCCAATGAAAATTCAGATAATGAAGATGACGATCACAATAGTGATCTACATGACAAGGAGAATCCCAAAAAATCAGAACCTTACAAGAATAAGTATTCAGCTCGCCTGATGCTCCTTGAAATAAAGACTTTCCTGGTTAAGCAGCTTGATGAGATGTCTGTTGACCAAATTTCACAGGTATCAATTACGGTATAGTATATTCTTTATTACTCAGCTTATCAGTTTTGTGTACGTGAAGGTCCATATTAAATATGCTTATATACGTATATCATTAGTATGCTTGAATTGAAAGTTCATCAAGAATTCAAAAGCAAAGAAAGCACCATGTAAATTCACCCTATCTTCATTGGAAGCGTTTTGAAAACCAGCTCCGTCATAAGTTAAAAGCCTTAACTGATGATGAATCTGGTTGTTGCAATATTTTCAATGAAGATTTGGTAAATTTACTTGGCTTTTTTGATGCTTTTAAATTCCAAATTAATATTTTATAATAATGTAAAATTTGCATTTTCTTGAATATTATAATTTATGCACGCATTTTCTTATCCAAATAATGAAATCATTGTATTTAGTAATTTTTGTCAAAAATTACTTCATATTGCTTTTGTTGTCCTGGATTGTAAGAGATGTTTTTCATTTATATCAGGGCCTGGATAAGCATGTGCTGCAAAGACTTCAAGCTGTGCATTACCAACTGGGTGCAATAGCTGTGGCTGTAGAAGAGTCATCAACTGGAGAGTTACATTTTAACACGATAATTGAAAAATTGAAAGATGATGCAATGAACCCTCGATGCATTAATCTCCTTGTTGCTGCTTACAACCAACTTGGCCTTATATGGGGAGAACGTTATGAGCATGAAAGGGCAAAGACAGAATTGCTCAATGCATGCAAAATTTACAAACAATATAAAGAAAAACATAAAAATTTGGCTCCTATCTCAATCAATGACCTTTTTTTAAAAGTCAAAGTGGAAAATATTTCAAATCAAAATTCCCAAAATGGATCAATTGTGACAGTAGCTGATGAACAAGAACCAAACTTTGATGACCACATGGGCTCGTGGGATGACTTGGAACAATATCACACTTACACCTTGTACTATCTTGCCCAGATTTGTGGCCATCTAGGTAAGTAAATATAAAATCTTGTCATCCATCAATTAGATGCAGAAACAATACAAGATGAGCAACGAAACTTGTTTGACTTGATAGCAGTTTATGTAGCTATGTTTATGAGTAGCATTTCTGTTGTTTTGCAGGAGAAACTGATGATGCTGCACGCTACTGTCACTCCACTCTGCACCGCCAGCTTGCTGATGCTCATGTCTTTGAACCTTTGGAGTGGAGCAAAAATGCTGCTATCTTGTCTCAGTTCTATTCTAAACAGAGCAATTACAAGTTAGTACAACATTTTTATGGGAAGACAATTTTCCACTGAGGTTGAAAATTTTTCAATCTTATTGGGATTCCCTTTTTTACTTCAAATTTAGAAATGACACCTGAAGTATTATAATAATCTATTATACCGTTACAATTCTATATTCTTTCAAATGGAATTTTATGAGCAGACTGGCACGTTATTTGCTCAGTGCAGCATGGGCTGTTCTAACCACAAATTCTCCCACCAATGATTCATCTAAGGCATGGTAAGTGTTGTTTTTAAATCAGTGAAAATTTCTTGAGTCTTCATTATTATTACTAATCAAGTTGCAATGGAGATCATGAATCTAACATTTGCATTTTTGGTAAGTTGTTTGACATTAAAATTTTAACTACCATTTCAGTTGTGTCTTGATTAGTGCTGATGCATAACTCCTAATCTGCATGTAAACTTCCTACTTTATGTAAATATATTTTTAATTTTTTGTTCCTTTTTTTACATTTGGTCTGCAAAACAATAAAGACCTGTATCAAGAAATGAGATAGCAATATAATGCATCAAATGAAGTTATCAATCAATAATTAATAGATATCAATATAATGTATCAATATAATGTATCAAATAAAGTTAATTTAAAAGTGAAATTAATCACTCTATCATCAGGACTGAGCGATATAATACTGCCAAGGCAGAGGTTGGCAGCACTATTGGCAAGTTTTGTGTCAAGGTGCTACAAGACTCAGAGGCTGCTCTAGATGTGAGACTTCTATTTTCTATTATTCACTCAGTAATTATTCATTCATCTGTTATGCACTATTTTAGTATGAATTTCTATAAATTTATAAATTTCTTCAAGAGTGCAGCTTTTGACGATAAAGTTTAGAAATTAAAATCATAATAAATGAAATGTACATTCTTTGTATTCTTCTTAGTTGAAGGTTAAAATTATAATGGATCATTTCATATGCGCAGAACCCTCCTCCAGGCGGGGAGCCTGCTGACAGTGATGAGGCAGCTGAAACTCGGGAAGAGAAGGTACAAAAAAACCTTGATTTTCCTGCCGTTCATTGAATTCTTGTAGCCATTCTTTGATTTTGAATTTTTGCAATCCTATTCTAAACTTTTTTTACTCTATAAGCTTTATTTTTCCTGCAAGAAACTAAACTCAAGCTCATTTAAGTTGAAGTTTGAATAGATTCGTAATGATCAGCCTATCTACCAGTACATGCATATGTACATTACCATGAGCAAAGGAAATTTTTTTACACATTCTAACTTTTGTTCATAAACTTAATACCACTATCAGTGCTGATGAACCAAAGAAGTATTTGAAAAATCAATGCATGACATTGATTTTTTGAAAAGACATGTCAATGAATGCATGTCTTTTTTATATTTATTGACATTCATCATATTGATTTGTTCATTTACTTATAATGAAAGATAATAATATTAAAAAAACTTATTTTATTACAAAAACTTTTTATTAAACCTTCTAATTTAAACACCGCAATTATATACCCAATTACGATCGTGTGACACTATCTTCTTACGCATTGGTCATAAATACTGGTGAATGTTCTAATTCAAAATCAGAGAACCATGTTATGGTACGAAATTTTCATTCTATTTTATAATTTAATTTAGTTAATTTTCTCTATAATAATGCACATAATGATTTTCTCTCTCTGTGCTCAATTTTCCAGATTATGCTACTTGCATCTTGGTTTCCATTTTAAATTAATATTTATGCTGGCTGATGGCAATGATTTCATTTGCTACTGCAGAAGCTTTTTCAAGGCCTTGATGAAGAGACCTTGAATGACATCCAGCAACGGTTGCCCAGTGGACTGGTCCGTGATTACGAAGGGGCTCGTGCTGTCTTCCTGGCCGGTCTTGAGTTCTTGGAGAAAGTTACCAGCTTCTACACATTAGAGGACTACGCTTCACTGCACACAGAAGCTGTACAGAGCATCAGTAGGCTCTACCAGGGACTTGCTGTGTTTGAGCCTCACCCTGACAGGTGTGATGTCTTGTTGTAGTTGTTGTTGTTGTAATTGCCCATCCTGGTAGTGGCAACTAGGTAATGGAGGGGGTGATACCGTAGGTCAGTTTTTCCGGGCACTTGGTGCAACTGGTAATTCCATGACCATCACTGGCTCGCTGACCCGCCAAAACCATTTTATTGCATTACACAACATCCTGGACAAGCCAGGTACTCATTTATCAACCAGAGTTGGATGAATGGCGGAGTTGACCACGAGCTGAGCTTCATGAGCATGAGCTGGGTGCAGTACTTATTATTTTTTTATGGGAATAAGTGCCAATGTTATAGTCCCTAAGCTGTGAAGCTTGTGGAGGCATTTAAAAAGCTTGTTTTATCAAGTAGCTTAAGAAAGTCAACAAGAAAATTCCTTAGAATTACTACCCTTACCCCTAATTTGATAATGAACATCCTTAAATGCGTTCATAGATAGAAGTTTCACACTTACTTTCTGTATATCTAGATGTAAGAAAATTATATAAAGTAGATCTTACATAGTTATTGGCCTAGTAGCAAAACGCAAACGCTTCTGAGTATCTCATGTAGAACCTCTGTTTGTTGATGATTAGGTCATGAAATCTGCTGTATCAGCAGGTACTATTTTTTTTGTGGCACTTTAATTATGTTCTTTACTCACATTTCAGGCAGAGCAAGATGCACAAGAGACGCGTGGACATGCTGACGCACCTTCTGAACGAGCTCAACCCGCAGTATTATCTTCAGGTTAGACTCTAATAAATTCCTGCATATTGCATATGTCTGCTAATATAAGATATATATTAATTAGCCGAAAAATTCTGGTGAACTTGAACAATTTCATTTCCTAAATTACCTGTTGAAGATTTAAAGAAAATATAAAAAGAAGTTATAAATGCTGGGATTAAATTCAATTGAATCACTTCCAAGGCGCTCCGGAAGTACCGTAATACCTACTCACAGACGCTGTTTTCTCCTTTGTTCAACAAAGCGACTCTAGCTGCGGTTTATTAAAAATTAACGTAGAACTAAGGATGAAACTTCTACGCAAGTGGACATTCTCTTGCCTCTACTACTCATCGCTATGAGATCGATTTTAGCCCGTTTCCTGCAAAATTGATTAAGTTGATGTAGATTAATTGTCATATTTTTAATTCTTCAGCCGAGTATATTTATTCCTACAACAAATTACCATGTGTAATTATTTCTAATTATTCAGCAAATTATGTTTAGTAATTACGGGCAGGTGTGTCGCCAGCTGCGCTACGAGCTAGCCGAGACCTACTCCAAGATGGCGGCCTGCAAGGAGCCGTCTTCTGCTGCCGGCCAGGCCTCCCTCACCCCCAGCCAGTGGGCCAAAATAACGTCTCTGAATCTCGAGAGTATTTCATCCTTCAAATTATTCCTCAAATCATTCGAAGACTCCAGGTACTTCATCTCTTGTTCTGCTTAATTTCATGCATGGTTTCCTATGATGCAGACAAAACGCTGTGGTAGTTTTAGCCTCTCAATGTTTTGATTGCATGAACTTTATCCTTAGTTTACTGGAGGTAAATATTTTAATCAGGCTTTACAGTATGAACGACAACAGGTGATCTTCCGATAGAAAAAGCGTTAAATAAACGTGATTATTTCGCGACTTCTTATGAAGGCAACCGAACTTCCCACACCATGCGATACGAAACGCTTTGACGACGGTAGATTTTTCTGCAGACAAAGAAGTAAAGTTCTTAGTAATTTCAGAACCTGATTATTTGACTCCCTTATCCCAATGATTCTAATATACCTAATATTATTTGTGCCAATTGCGTTGCAATTAATTTTTTTATTTCTCACATGACTTTGACAAACCTAAGGTCGTGTGATCGTTATTTATATTGAGTTGCATGATTCAGGCGTGATTTTTTAATGATATACTGAAACATTGACGTACGTAAGTTCACGTTTATTCGTTTTCTATTTTCTTTGGAAGCTTTTGCTTACATCTGATGATAATTATTAAGAGCAAACCTGCTTTTAACTCAAATGATCATTTCGAACATTCGTTTGTTGAATAACGCCCAAAGATTTCGTAATAAAAAAACAATAGTCTGATATTATAAGGTTACACTGGAAATCTACGTTAATTAGCTTCAGAAGATGTAAAATATTCAAAAAGTTACATCAAAGTTTGTGAATGCTTGCTCACCCAGTGATTAACACTAAGTTAATATTAGTCGCGTGGGATGCGTTGTCTTTGAAATTTGCAGGTTTACCTGAATTTTGCTTTACTCCCAGTGTTTATACGGTAGTTATTTCAGCTGACAAGGCCGCTCATACTTTAAATGTACATTTTTTTTCAAACAGTGGCAACGCGCCTTCCCGCTACCCCGAAGAAGCAGAGCGCGCTGCTGTTGTTGCTCTCTTCTACATGGGGCGCTTGTGGAACAAAATGAAAGTCACCAGTCGCCCGCAAGCCATTCAAAACATCAACAATGCCATTGATTGTTTCAAGGTACAATTTTTCATTAATTTGAGACCAAAAATTTATTTCATGCCAGTACTCGTACAATCTTTTGTTTAATGCTTTGAATCAGTACGTTTTTTTTTTTTTGCCTCACTTTGTGGTGGAATTGATGTGTGTCAAACTAATACGGATCAGGCCTTCGATTTGTACGTACAATTTTTTAAGTGATTACTTCTGTCAGATTGTTGGGAAAGTATGGCATTTAATAGCAATTTTGTTTAACTGGAGACAAATATAATTGTGCAGCAAGTGCTGGAGTACGTGGAGCGCAACCCCGAATGTCGTGACAAGCTGACCGACGAACTGGAGCTTTGTGAGGAACTGGTGCAGCTGCTGCCTCACAAGTTAGCTCAGCTGCAGTAATGTTCGGACTGCGGGAACTGGTGCAGCTGCTGCCTCACAAGTTAGCTCAGCTGCAGTAATGTTCGGACTGCGGAAACTGGTGCAGCTGCTGCCTCACAAGTTAGCTCAGCTGCAGTAATGTTCGGACTGCGGAAACTGGTGCAGCTGCTGCCTCACAAGTTAGCCCAGCTGCAGTAATGTTCGGACTGCCGGAACGGGGCTACAGAAGAGCAACCCCTAGCACTTCACAGGCTGGTTTTGGGCCAGTATATAGATTACAATGATGAACAGTTTAAAATATTACAATGTTACGGAATGTGAAGAATTGCGTAATTCACGAATGCCTACTGTACTTGTCATTCCATTTATTCATATATTCAGGATGTATTGATAATTTGCTTTTTCTTTAGAAGTGACTATTTAACCACGAATTCCAATGCTCCAATCAAGCACGTTAAAAACTCTTAAGAATGGCGTTTGCTTTCCTTTTAATATAGGATAATACCGATAAATATATAAACCGGTGTTCCGTTTCTCAGCCACATAGCATGTTGGCAAATTTTAACCAAGGAATGTTACCGACAAGTAACCAGTCATTAGGTACACTGTTTCTGTGATGTCAAGGATACAAAGATCTCAAGTTAACTTAATTAACCAATTATACTTTCAAGTGTAAACCCTTATGATTTAGGCATTATTTTCAGTTTTGTGCTTACTTTTTTGTCATTGATGCACAATTAGTTTAAGATTGAAATAGTTGGAGGAACTATGTCAATGTGTGTCACTAGCACAAGAAAGAGCAAGTAAGCGTATTTAAAGTTATAATGCATCCATCTTGCATCTTCATTCATGCTCCCAGTATTTTACTCGAATGATGGAACGAAAGCCTTATAGAGAAAGTTTATTGCGAATTTATATTAACATATTCATATATCCCCTGACACTTTGAGTATAAATAAAATATGAAGAAATCTGTACAAATCATTCTCAAAAGTCAAATTTCATGTGTTCAATCTGCAATTCTGCATCTTGAAAAATTAATTTCTATTCAATCGATACTTTTCATGCAAGACGATCGATTTTTAAGTTATAAATACGTGCCTATATGAGTGAGTATTATTAATGCACTGATACACTAATCTAAAACCTCCAGCTGAGCATATCCGCCCTCAACAGTAGCTTCGCTCGTTTCTGAAATATTAAGATCATCCAGCACAATATCAAAATCTTTCTCGTTTTCCTGGGGTTTCCAATCTTTTCCTAGCTCGGCGCCAGCAGGACGGCCAGATTCTAACTGAGTGCCTCTACCTCCACGAGAGCCGTCGAACCCTTCGGAGCTATCACTCGCAAGCAGGGCATTGCCAGGCTTGGATTCATTCTTCAAGGAAGTAAAATAAGCTGCACGCAACGTAGACGGAGCCATAAGACGGCGCACCATGTCTTCCAAGTCCGCTGGACGCATCTCTAATAAGGCAAGTCTGGTCTCCACCTCTGCTTCGGCTGCAGCCTGTTCGGTGAAAGCCTCTCTCAACTCCCTGCAGCTCAGTGCAACTCTAGACAGAAAGTAGTCATTACATTAAATCTTGCTGGAGTTTCACGGGACGATGCAATTTTCCAACACATACTCGTTTGTACGGAAATTTTCAAACTTAGTTAACAATTACGTAGATTTTAATGAGAATTCGAAAATTGGGGACTTTTTAAGTAATGAACTTCATTAACGAATCGCTGCACAAGTTTATGTAGAATTAATATTTCATTAACATACGCCTAAGTCATAAACTCCAGCCTGAGCTCGACAAAGGCGACAAACGAACAGGGGCAAAGCTATTGAGCCTTTAGGCATAGGCTAGCAAAATACATAATAGTTAGCCATTATATTAGATACACGCATATACAACTAAGAAAACTATAGAAAAGAAAAATTGGAGTTATAACCCACAATTTAAGCAGGACAAGCGTGACCACCGCCCATTGTGCAGGTCGTAGGTGCAGGTTGTGTTGTGTCAAGTGCAGGGTTTCCACCACAGCGCGCAGCCGATCGCGCACCAGCTCCCTGCTCAGCCGTAGCTCGGACACCAGCGCACGTTCGCTGCAACGAAGATAATCATTAAATCGCTCATGATTATAATTAAATTCACCAGTCCATATCATGAAAAACGTTCCAGAGCTACAGTTACTAGCGGATTTGCAAAGCTCCAGCTTCTAGTAAATTCTCATAGCTCCAGCTCCTTGCAAAGAAGAATAGAACAAGTCGCTAGCAATACGTAAAGCTACATTAATAAGTATTTGCGTAGACTGGTTTGGAAGATGTAAGCTCTGCCACTGACCAGGGTGCAATTTTCTCCATGAATATATTGCGTCGCCAGGAGCAGGCGTTGTGTTGGTCAATGAGGGGCAGGGAAGACAGCTCCTCCTGCCCAGGGTCCTCGTAGCAGTCAGCGCCCTGCAAGAACGCCTCCACCTACCAGGGCAGCCATCACAATGATCACATACGCAGTTATTGGCAGTTTTACTGATCACTCACAAGCGTTCCAGTTGAGATCGATTATAAGCAATCACAATTTTTGCTTAACCCTATACCGCGTGACACGAGTAACCGGAGCAATATTGTCACACGCCTACTTCCCAAAAAGGATACGATCTAGTGAGCGCAAAATGACTTGCACTGATGGTTGCCGCCACGTACGACAACTTTAAAATGTTCTCTGTTGCATACAAACATCCTCAGGTTGCTATACCCAATAGTTTACGTATAATTTAAGCTGAATTTATGTTTCTGGAGAGTGACATAAGGCGGTAGAGGTTTATTATGCAAGTTGTAGTGTCTTACACTCATAGAAGTAAAAAGCTCGTGTATTATAACGCAATTTTTAACAATAGACCAAACAGTATCTCATTTACTAAAGTTCTGTTCACTTCATTGCTTGTATATTCTTTCCAAATCCCTTGTTGTATTTGCATTGACGTAGGTAATCATGACTCACCACTGAGACAAAGTTACTGCCTCCAAGCTAAACTGACACAATTTAAATAACTTCAATGTGTTCAGGAGTAGTTTTTGTTATGGAGAATTAGTTTTGAGCAAAACTTGACGCTTGGTACATTTTCATGGGATGGTTCCTATATCAGCATCATCCTACAGACTGCACTGTAAGTTCACAGGGAAAATATGAAAACAATTTACTCTACAGGAATATTGTTGAGTGATAAGTTTTTGGCGAATAAATTTGGGATTACGAAGCAGTGAGATCATAATTAATGTTTATTACCTTAGCAAGTGCTTCAGCCTGGTGACTGCGAAAACGAGCAGCTCTTTTTAAGAAGGTCAAATCTTCTTCTGAAAAAGAAATTTCATTGACAATCATATTTTCACGTATTTATTATTGCCAGTATGGAAACTCATGAAGTAAATATATTTCCACAGATGGCTTTTTGTGATGATTTGCATTCGAAATGATGCACTGCCTTTGCGAACAAAATTGAGTTCATCTAACAAAATTGTAGCGATGTCAATGGTACATAAACACGTAATACTTCACCTTGTTTGACTGTGGAGTGACTGAGCTTTTTTATAGGAAGCATCTAGTCAACAGTCAAAAATATTTGGAAAACCACGAGAGCACGAAAACACACACAGGCATCGTAGCTACCTGAACCATTGCGTAAAGCTAATCCGCATTTCTGTCTCAAGTTATTCTCTCCCAGCAATAAAATGTATGATGGCCAACACAGCCACTGCCGCAGGTGCTCCTCAACCTGAATAAAAAATTAAATAATTGCATTTCATAGTGTCAACTTAGCCCATCCTACATATACTAACAATAGAAATTCTTAATTATCTTGTTTGATTCATTACCAGAAACAAGTGATGAATACTAAAACATTTATCAATCTTCATAATGTACATTTTTCTAATAAGTATACAATTTAAAAATTTATAAAAACTTTAGTTATTTCAGCAAATGAAAACAAAGTGCATTAACTAAACATCAACTATCTATGCTAAGCTGTAAACCTCTGTAGCAGCATTAACTGACGGCAACTTCTGCAGTTTGGCACGTGACAGTTTGTCGTCCTCCTCCTCTGAAGGGCTGGTAGTTGGCAGGATAGCAGCTGGTGATCCATCAGCATCGGGCTTATTTAAATTCCCTGACACTGAAGTGTCCTTGGTACTCAAGTGAGTGTGGGCTTTTGATAATTTACCACTATTTTTCCCAACTTCAAAGTCTGCAGACAAATCTTTTGTGGATTGGTGGCTGTGTTTGTCTTTTGATTGAGATGAAGCTTGTTTATCTGATTTCCCACTTGACTTGGAGTTTAAATTTGAAGATCGCTTGCTCTGTGTAGAACTTTTTCTGGAACTTGAGTCATTCACTGTGGGTTTCACACCTGAAAAGTACATGAACATCATCTACACTTTTATTGACTTAAAATTTGTTCTCTCATTAAAAAATTTACAATTACAGAAATAAAAATAGCAATTTATTAAGTTCCTCATCAAATAAACTTGATAACCCAAGCTAATTCCTTCTTATTCATTGACCCTAAAATTTTTATTTGCCTGAGCCCTCAAATTTATAACAAATCCACTGCTGCTGAAATGAGACGCTCTTTTGTACCCACTTGCAATTTCAATTCTGTCGCCATGCAAGCCCTTGAGCTGAGACACCTCGGGAAGCTTGATCAGGTTTCTTTCATTAACATCTTTCCATTTGATGTATAGAGGAGAATCAGAAATTTGATTTAACACCAGCAGACTAGCTTGGAAACAAACATTGCTGCAGAAATTCTGAAAAAAATACAGGAGGATAAAGTTTAATACGTAATTAAGTTGTTCATATTTCATGCAAATGTGTAGTTGAAATTTAGATACTTAAACATTTATTAATCAAGAGAATTATGTAAATGAAGATCAAACCCTCAAGTCCCACATAAGATGAGCAAATAAATAAAACTGATGAATATATTTAATTTAATGTAACTATACATTACTTATGGTGAACAAAATACATATCAACTAAAACAAAGAAAAAGTTTTCACACTCACTCTTCTTCTAGAAATATCATAAACAGCTTTACTCCTTATGATGTATTGTCTGGAGCCAAGGTTGTCAGAATACTTGTTGTTGCACAGAGGATAACCACACACGCCTGATATGCAGCGCTCCAAACATACATCCTCAAACTGAGCAGGAGTGATGAAGCAACACTGAAAAAAAGGGCCTATAAGGATTATTAATATTTTAATGGATAACATGCAGTAACTTATTTGATCAAATTGAATTACAAATTATCTATACATCCATAGAGGCTCATATCAGAGTGCATCATTCTAAACAATAACTTCAGCTCATTTAAATCTCATGTTAGAAAATATTGTTCAATATTATGCTCATGTAGGGTATTATTATTATTTTGTATGGTATTTATTATACATCCATATATTTTAAGTGCTTAAACCAGAATATCAAAATTTTGATTGGCATCTCTCAATGATGTGAAACAATATGAATAAATGAACAGCAGCAAAATAAAATATCCATCAACTCAGAACTGGATAAGCATTGATCAAAATAAATAGCAAATTATATTTGATTGATTATTCTAGTTTGTAGTTAAGTGTTCAGTGTCCAAATAAGCTTATCTAGTTTCTTAAAATCAAATAATACTTACCAAGTGCTGTAGGTCCTTGCCAGTAACTGTTGATTCAATGAGCTGCAAGACAATCTTTTGCGACTTCCTGGAACATTCTTGTGCATAATTTCCACTTGAATTCATCATGAAGTTTATACACTTGAATTCACATTAGTTACTCACAATAAAATCTGGAGAATTAAAAAAATTGTAATGCAATTTAAAGGTGCAAACTTCAGTATACTACAATTTGAACTAATTAGAGAAGAGAAAATAATTCATGTTCAACCCATTAATGCCGAGCGGTTCCATTTGGAACCAGCGGAAAAAATGGATTCATAATAAAATTGTATGGTCAAATCAATATACTAGTGGATGCGTAGGTTTGATACACATCTTGGACGTGTTCTGGCAACGTTTGGTTCTGCTGTGCCAACTACTCCCTGCTCAGTTAAAATTTAAAGATTGTAAGTACCGGGTGTCAGACAGAAGGGCTTAACATCATTGCAGAGAAAGGTAAGTAGTTCGTTCTAAGAATATATTATTTATAAGTTAGATGCAGAATTTTATCGATAAAGAGAGTACTTTTAATTCTGTATATGGTATTACGTGATATAATGTTTCTAAAGTCATTTGGATCATGAAATATTTTGTCTGGTTCCAAATGGAACCACTCGGCAGTAGTGTAAGCATTCCGGTCATATCATTTTCCCAGTAGATTACTTTGTGATATAGTTACGCATTGTATTTCAAAAACTTGTCTGTATTTAGAAATTATTTATTTACATCTTAGATCTACAGTTTTTCTGTTATTTGTTAGTGAACTATTATCTTTAGAGCTGTTAAGAGTATATATATCCCGAAAGTTGATATATTTGGAAGTAGGTACACTATAAGATTTTTCATCCGAGGCACTTTTTTCTAGTTGTATTTTTGGCAGATCATCACATGAAATAATTGAGATTTCGAGAGAAGAATAACACGAAGATCAAATATTTGCTACTGAACCTTTCACAGAAGCAGCAACAAACGAAACATACTGAGATTCAGATAACTCAGATGACGCAGCCACTAGCAATTCAGAAGTGCAATACAACAATCAACAACATCGGCCAGTGAAGAGACGTCAGAAGCACTGCAAATGCAGTGCTTCGTAAACAATGTTGACAACGCACCCACAAACATACGTAAAATGGGCAACCTTCCTATTCATTTTGAATGAATAGAAGCATTCTATGCTAAAAATTGAATTGTATTCTGCCATGATTGGTTTATCATCAGTATTGTCCATTATGAATACGTATACTATTACGTATTATCGATTATGAACAACCTTGCTTGATTTACTATTGGAAAAAGTGTTGTTTGAAGAAACGTTATGTTAATGCCGAGCGGTTCCATATGGAACCAAGCTATAATTTTTCACATACAACGAAAAATAAATATATGAACATATTTTTTGCTTATTACCATCACAAATGATAATATTCTCACAATGAACCGAAAAAAAATTCAGAAAATAATTCTCGTCATTAATGGGTTAAATACTACCTAGCAAATAAATTGAAATAGGTAACAATTGCAAAGCAATCTAAGAATGCAAAATTAAATAAATAAAGCTGGTTTGATGTCAATAATTGAAGGCAAAGCTGCTCACTATACTGACTATAGTGACCATAGTCACCATACAAGCTCCACACTTGATTGCTTAATTTGCTCGTCCTTGAGCTCGATCTGAATCTGACCACTGATGCGTGAAGAAGAAACACTTTTAGTTTTCAGTACTTGCCACCACTACTCATTTCTTGGAGGGAAGTCTCTTATAAAATGGAGACCAGGGAACCACAACAACAATTTTAACAGGCTTGAAGTGCTTCTATATTGGCAATTGGCATCAGTTTTTACCAGTGAAATAACACCATAAAAATATTTTGAATAGTTTGGACAGGAGCAGCTTACATAATGTTACATTCCAGGGACCTAAAGTTGTTGCAGATAGTATATTAATATTTTTCATGTTGTTAGAATTCTCTACCTCAATGGCAATCAGGCTTTTCCTCAAATTTACTCTTAACATCCTTGACAATGCTGATGGAGTATGGTGGGGTGGCAAATGCAGTGCAAAGCATAGCTGAAGAGGTCAGCATCTTGTGGGAGCCAGCATCACTCTGCATCAGCAGGTTGGAGTTGGACCAGGACTCTAGTTGTCAATTGTCATTGCTGGTTTGTGTCAGCCCAGGTAGGATATATAGGCGAATAGAATAGCAATTTCCCCAATCCCCATCAGCCCCAGCAGTTTGAGTTGCAGGCTGTCCCTCACAGAGTCAGACACTGACTATGTTACTGCAGGTGCAGGGTCTGTTTGTCTCTGGCTTTGGTCTTTCTGTTGTAATTGTTCTTGCTTCCTGGTTTGTAAATTTTTCTCTTAGAGTTACACTTGCATTGTTTAAATTTTAGCTCCTTTTCTGTTGCAAACCGGAGGCAGGGCCCCAGGAAAAGGGGTCATGTCATCTGAAGCTTTCCTCTTAGCCCTTAGGTAATCTTAGTTCTGTCTGTATTGGTCTTTACTATTTATAATGATGACATGGATAAGTTACACATACACTGTACACAGACCATAGATGACTGTACGGTCACTACGGTGTATGTCAGAGTCAGACTGTCAGTACCAGTGTCAGTGTTGGCACTTGGCAGTGTAAAAGGACACAAGGTTACTCAGCAAAGTTACACATGACATGAGTTAACATGACATGAGTCACATGATAGCTATCATGACCATTGCTCCTCAAAACTAAGATAAGATTTGATAGTTAAATTGGATGGATTAATATGCATACTGCATAGGCCGTAGGATGACATAGATTATCATGATTATGCAATTCAATGATTGCATGTAGGTACACATGCATATACAATATATGTACATAGCATAACAAAGATACACTGATTACACTCATACAAGGCAATAAACTGCATTTCGTTTTTTAGCGCCCATCTAAAGTTGGCTGAGCCTGCCCGATTTCAAAATGTAAACAGTCAAAAATTGAAAGATTTTCCTTTGCACATCATCATTAAAGATCCCTCCCCAAAAAGTTTGCACAGTAAAAATTATAGGTACATCTTAAATTAGTTCCCACTTCTTGTCTGGGCTGCGCATGCCGCTGAAAATGTAGCATATAGTGCTCGATTGCGTCCACTGGGCACTCAGGCACTGTGTACGAGATTTGCAACACACGTCTTCACCATGGTTGAACTACAGCAGTACGTATCACACAGGCCACAGCGAGTGACCAATCGACACTGCAAACGTTTCGTTGCTATTACGGCTACATCGAGGAATCGGTGATGATGATGATGTCTTTTTTCAGGCGTCGTAAAGGACCCCAAACAGGTCAGTTGTCACACCTGGACACGGCAATTTCAACGCTTCTTTTCAAGTTTGCTTAGTCGTCACTGGTTTCTATGATTTCAAGAGCAGTAAACTTGGCAGGGCTTTAGCTTCACAATGTCCCCATCCGGCCGGTACTTGTGAGAAAGGTGATTACGGCCTTGATCACAAGGTGTTGCTCCTGTTTTGTGAGGTCACTCCCTCCCAGCAAGATTTGCACCGTCATGGTCTGTATGCCAATATTTTGCAAAGTCCTTCTCATGAGTTGGCGAGCATTGTTATATTGGGCGCANATGCAGTTCCATCAATCTTTATGCATTCTCTTAGTGTTTCCACACTGGCTTCCACATCAACTGGGGATACTACTCCATATAGGTATTTTGCTTGATTTGGTCTACTGCACGTAACGTTCCAAGGTCCCAGCTTGGTACATGAAATCAAATTTTCAACGCTGCCAGAGTTGGCAAGTTCAATAGCAATCAACCCCTTCCTTAAGTTTACCCTGACATCTTTAATTACCTCAGATGAGTAAGGAGGGGAGGCAAGCGCTGTGCAGAGCTTGCCAGGAGAGGTAAGCATTTTATGAGCAGCATTGTCAGTCGGACGGACAAGTAAAACACAGTCATCATTTTGCTCTCTTCTCGATGTTGGAACATTGTCAACCTGAGCAGGCAGAACAGGTTCCTTAGTACCAGCATCCTTCTGCACGATTGCCACTGGCACCGGCAGAACTCGGTGGGTAGCTTCAACAGCTTTCTTTGGTGCAATTTCAGAGGTCATATCCTTAGATGCCTTCCTTTTCCGATTTCCTTGATTAGCAGACTCGATGTTATCATTTTCTTCCACTGCCCTCAGCTCCTGATCCCATTCTCCATCGGCCAAGATTGAGGCTATTTGTGACGCAGTCAAGTTGCCCTCCGATTGTTGGGAGTTGGCGGGAGGTCCGGGAGCGTCATAGCCTTCTCTAGACGTCATTGCTAGAGAGGTTCTTTCTAGCTTCTTGATTCAAATGATCCAATCGTTAACCTTTTATCAGTTATCACTTTATGTTTCAATTGCATCAAGTAATATTACCGTTACTTGTGTGAAAATTCTTTGTTTCTTTCAAATTTAAGTACAACCACAGGTATGTCTGTCACCGGTCAAAGCTGACGAAATACTTCCCTCGAGGAATCGGCTCCACCGCGGTAGTCCATAGATCAGTTGTTCGCCACTTAAGCCTACTGGGGCGCATGCCGGAGGCCAGCTTTGCCAAGCTTCATACTTTGTTCATATTTTATCCGTTTGTAAGAACATTAAGAGGCATAAAAGCCTATGAAGTAACCTGCTTAGAACCATAGTGTCGGATGTCCACAATCATAACTTAAGCTTGCTAAAGGTATACATGGCTAAACTGCGTCTGGCCGAATCTCTTCCTGCTTAACTTCTTCAGGTTTAACCTACACAAATTGCAACATTTCTCCACCCAAAACAAACCTTATCCGACCTAACCTATTTTTTTGGCCGCAGGAAGTTAGAAAGTCGGTTGGGAGGCGGCTGCAAGAAGGTTGGGAGCCGCGGAAGCGTGAATAGGTTAGGCTTGAGTAGGTGCAGCCCGACGAGGAACTGCGTACTTATATAATAATAATACAGTGGTTGCCGCGTTTATTATGCCGTAGGCCTGTCGACGATTCTTAATATTGCAGAACATCCACAGTTTGTTGCGGTCTCGAACTCGCAACTCGCTGCTCCAATTCTACTTTGCTTAACCCAGTGGTTCCCAAACTTTTTCAGGCTAGCGCCCCCTTTGGCCCCCTAGTGAATTT